TCTTGCTTTTGTTTTAAATGAATAAGCCCGTGTTAGTTAAAGGCCACAGCACTGAAACTACCAGAGCGGTTACGGCAGTAGAAGAATAGTTTTGAATGTAGGCCTAAAGGGACCTGACTGACCCACTGGTACTTGAAGGCTGCTATTCTCTCAACAGCTCTAATGGAAGAGAGAGAGAGTCTGTTCCTTGCCAATTTACCCCAGTTCTCCTCTGGGGAATGCCACTCTCCGAGCTCGAGGTGACAAATCTATTCAGTCCTGGGTGTGGCTGTGGCTCTCAACAAGGAAGTTTGTATCAGCTGTCCCCCCGCCCCACTGCTAAGACATGGAGAGAGGGCACCAGCTTCCAACCAATACTGAGGGGGGGCCCAACTGCCCACCGCAGCGCAGTGCTGGGTCCTGACCCCAGGACCATGTGCACCCTGCATGTTGTCACTGACGTCACCTGAGCGTCATGAGCTCCCCTTGGCTGGGTGCAACATGCCCCATTCTTCACGCTGTTCTGCCCCCACAGTTTCAGTAGCCCGCATAGGAGAAATTGGCAGCAGAGGAGGCCGGCACTGCTAGCCCCGAAAGGGCTGGGTGCCCAAGGGATGCTTTGGGTAGGGTTACAGTGCTGGGGCTGCTGTAGGATTTTCAGAGCTGCTTTTGAGTTCTCTCTCCCTAACAGGCTTTTCAAAGACTTGATGGATTACATTTAGCTTCCCCTGTGCCAACCCAGCCTTCCCCCCTGTAACCAGCAGGAGAGGCATGCTTTTCTCCTTTAGCTAGTCCATGCCGCTTTGTTTCCTTTTGGCTTATGTGCACACCCATCCCACCATTCCCCTTTCTTCCCACAGTGATGAACGTGTGGCAAATGAGTTAAGCAAAGTGAAACCCCTTCCTCTGCCAAACACTCAAACCTTGCTAGGCTCTGGCAGGAGGGCAGCTTCTGTTACCACGCTGGATACTTTAAAACAGTGACTCTCAACCTTCCCAGACTACTGTACCCCTGTCAGGAGTCTGATTTGGCTTGTGTACCACCAAGTTTCACCTCACTTCAGAACTACTTGCTTACAAAATCAGACATAAAAATACATAAGTGTCACAGCACACTATTGCTGACAACACGCTGACTTTCTCATTTATCATTGAATTATAAAATAAATCAATTGGAATATACATACCGTACTTACATTTCAAGGTGTAATATATGAAGACATTGCCTGTATGAAATTTTAGTTTCTACTGACTTTGCTAGTGCTTTTTATGTATAGAGCTCTGCAAATCTGCAGCTATCCACTTTATCTCTGCAGATCAGATGCAGATACAATTTTATGTAGCCTGTTGTAAAACTAGGCACATATCTAGATGAGTTTATCTACCTCTGGAAGACCTCTGCATACCCTGGTTGAGAACCACTGCTTTAAAACGTGGCTCAGTGTGAAATTGCTGAAGTAACAGTCACACACCCCCTCCCCTGCCAGCAACGGCCTTTCCACACCCAGCCTCTGCCCCAGCGCAGTGCTCTAAAGAGCTGTCGATCAGCTGCTTGTTCCTGGGAGTAGCCTGCCATCTGCAGGGCCTGAAAAGGAGCTGTACTTGTCAGCATTTTGCCTTGGCAATTGTTTCAGCTGACTCCATTCCAGCCACCTGACACGCACCCAGGGGAATTAGGATCCAGTTTTTTTAAATTCAATGTATAAGTAACATTTGAAGTAGCTCCTTGGTCATTTCAGGCCACTTTTCCTACAACATTATCATAAAACAAATCCCTCCTGTGACTAGACAGCAAAGGCAGGAGGGATACATGTTGTACTAGCATCTCCAGTGACAATCAAGGAGACCGCTCCATAATGTGAGCAGGAGATTTTCCTCTCTGTGGCACTTGATCCACAGACATAGCAACCAAATTGTGATGTTTTACATCTATGGCCCCCATCACGACAGTAACTTGGCACCGCCCCGTCCTTCATGTAGTTATCCTCACACTGCCCTGTGAGGCAGGGAAGTACTACCGACCCCATTGCACTGAGGCACAGAGCGGCTAAGTGACTTGTCCAGGGTCACACAGGAAGGCGATGGCAGAGCAGGGAACTGAAGCTCTCTCCCAAATCCCACATGAACCATCCAGTCTTCCTCCATTACTCTCTGGCACCTGCATAGCAGCCTCTGTTACATGAAGTGGTGGTTTCACTTACGCAAGTCAGACTGGGCTGACAAGGCAATTCAGGGAGCCAATACCGCCCCCTGCTGGCTACCGTGTGCATAAACTTCTCTTTATACATACTATCCAGTTCCTATACGGTGCTTTAGATTGGTAAAGATGCCGCTAACCCTTACGGTTGCGCAGGACACGTTCAGTTCAGTCTGTCCGTTAACCACTGCAGTGGTGTCTGTCAGAGGCTGCAGGCCATTTGAAACCCTAGCTGGAGGAGCTGCTCAGTGGGTGTTAACACTGAAGCCTAACAATGACAATTCCAATGTTAGCCATTCACAGCTGATCAAAGCATGCAAGAAAGAGGAGGGGCATTTTTTTGTGCATTTCTATGCCATCTAACAGCTGTGGTGTTGGGAGGTACCACCACTTTCTTCCTTTCCCCCCCCCCCCCTCCCCACACACACCTCTGCTCCTACGGGAGCCAAGACACTATCACAAAAAGAAACAGCTACAGCCTGGGGGAGATGAGCTCCTACTGAGGTTTGCATGAGGCTGCTGTTCTAGGCTTTCATGCTCCAGGGACATAAAGGAGGGAGCCTGGTTTACTCAATTTTTTGGGGTACCCATACGTGCTGGAAGAGCCAACAGCTCTGTTTGTTTCACCTTGACATCTGAAGCAGCTTCATGAAGATTTTTGGCCCCTGCCCCCTCGTCATCAAGACTCTTTCATGCAGGTGATGATCCTGTGTTATGACAACCCCCAAAGAATGATTTGGCTTTGACCCAGCAGTGAGTGGAGCCTATTCCACAAGGGACAGACTCATTCTTACACTCTTCCAAAAGATGCAGGCCTGCCCTTGCAATGGAGGGCATCCTTGACCACCATCCCACGCGGAGAAACTCCCTTCCACCCCCCTCTAAAACAGGTGGCACGTGCACAAGGCCAACAACGGGGGAGGGGAGAGGAAGAGAGGCAGGAAATGAAATTAACAATGAAGCAAATACAAGACTCCGCATGAGGCAACAAAGCCAAGCGGCTGCAACTCAGGAAGGAGGAATGTTCCTTGGGTCCCAGGGCTGAATGGAGAGACAGCCAGCGGCCGAACGGCTTTATTCGGTTCTTTGCTTGCGATGCTTCTAGTGTGTGAAGCAGGGTTATTAGAACCCAGATAGCCACTCCTAGAATTAATGACATTTTAAATGAGTTTAATACTTTTAGGACCCCTCCCCCAAAAAGCAAGGCACACTGTTCATGCAAGAATCTAGCCACTATCTTTATGTCAGAACTTGTTATATTCAAGGGGAAAAAAAATCTGTAAACCAAAGAACCCCCCCACACAGGGTCAAGATAAACACACTCTTCTTGTTGAAGATTTCTTTTGATTTATTGAGAATCCCAGTCTGTTAATGAGCTGAGATCTCGGCAGAAATTTACAAGGGATCTCTATGGGATGCCAGTCGGCCCCCTTCACCCTCCCCATCCCGAGCTGCATTTTAGCCAGAACTGAAGGGAGAGCAAAGATGATAAAATACAACCGCCAAGGGTTCAAAGCACTGCTGGGTTGCAAAACCAAAACCAAACCTGAGGTTTCAGCTAGACCACAGCCACATACCTTCCCTGATCTGGAACTATTTGACTAGACGTCACCAAAACCAAAGCCAGCTAAACCCAAAGCCTCAGGCTGAGCTTAGACTGTCACTCCTGCTATCAACATTAGTCAACTACATGGCACCTGCTAAAAATTTATTTGAATGCTTTTGCAATTAAACAGCAATCATCGTTAAGTTACCAGTATTTCCTCAGGGGACATGCCGCTAATACAGCTGTCCCCATACACTTTACTCAAGTGGCACAGACTAGATTAATGGTAACTTTCATTTACAAGGCACCTTTCCCTCTGAAAATACTCTACCCATCAGAGACACACAGCAGTGGCTGTAAGAAATCTCTCACAGTTTAAATAACTCTCCCGAGTGTGCTGGAGGAGAAAGCAGAGAGCTGCATTAAGATAGGGGATTGATTCATATGCCGAGTTTCCCATGGCACCGTCACAGGGATCTCTCACAGCAGTGCAGTGAGCACCAGTCACCCAGAATATCTGAGAGGCTCTCAAAAGAGGCAAGTCTTTCTGTCCCTCCTGTCTGGGCTTCCTAGAGCAGGCTGGAGTGTGAGAATGGGCCTGTGCACAAACCTGAAGCCCCAGGCCCACCTTGCCTAGGATGGGAGCCTGAATCCCTGGAGCCACTGCCTGGGAGAGCAGTAGGGAAGCTTCAGGAGGCCTGTTAGAGGTGGTGGCAGGTGGAGGGATCAGGGACCCAAAGACCCTTACTGCACTCTCCGGCATCAGGGTCAGTGTTGTGTCCAGTGTCTACACCCTTTCAGATCCATCCCAGCCCTGACCAGGACACACGACCTTCTCCCCACTCAACAGGAGACGCTGTTCCCATACAAGACACTTGACAGAGGAGAGTGGAGGAGCAGCCACAGAAATGCCCTTGGTTCTCTCCCCAGCCAAATGCAGGGACAGTGCGGCTGAGGGGTAGATGCACAGTCTGAGGCCACAGCTGAGCTGCAGAGCCTGAATCACCCCAGCGGGCAGAGCTCAGACCTCCAACACTGGAATTCTCCTCAGGAGAGCAAGGAGTGCTGGGAAAGCCAAAACGGGTGGGAGAAGGAGGGGGTGGTGCATTCCCCTGTTGCCAGTGTCTGACAGGTCTGGCTGTGCCCTCAAGCAGGCTGACATACCCACCGTAACAGACCTGGGCACCATGAAGAACAGAGTCTTCCCCCAAACGACTGAGGCAAATACACGGTGCTTTAGAGCCCCAGAGCTGCAATGAAGAAACACTAACTACAGAGTGGTCATCAAACAACTTTTTATCCTTTTTTATTTAAAATATCATTATAACCAATTGACATACTAGATAACAATGTATACATTCCAGTGGTGCACGTGTCATGACCGATGGCATAGATGATAAAAACCACAATGATCTCAGTATTTCCCCACCAGTGGCTTATTGGGAAGGGGTAGAAAAGAATGAGGGAGGGGAGGGTGGCACATGGGAAAGAAAACGAACTGTCATTTTTCCATATTTAAAAGGTGTGTCCTTCCCCTCCACACTTCCCAGGACAGAATACATTTCCATATCCACATTGAAGGGGGCAGGAGGAGCGATCACGAGAATTCAGCCAGTTTTGCTCAACTTTAGTAACAAGTTAAAAGTTTAAGAACTCTCAAAAATAGACTAGATATTGGGCCTACAAAAGTAATTCATCTGTATGCAAAGCTTACCAAGAATTATTCCTTTTGTAAAATGTAAAGGATGGACTGATATTACTAGTTAAGTTATTTTTACCTACAAAAAACAGACTACAATAATAGAGTCACCAATTTACATCTAACACAATTTTCTGGATGTACATTATTGTATGTGAGCTATATGTTACACATGAACATCGTACGGGAAGTATACATGATACATACTTACGGATATTGTCTCAACATTGGCCAATAGGCTGGGCTTTTTAAAAAGGGAAATGTACTTTATGTTTCACATTCAGGGTAGATCCAATAGTGAAGGTTAGCTCTGTTTACTCAAGAAAGCACAGAAAGTTTGTGTGAGGTAGTTCCATAATAAACTAGTTTCACTTTTAGCAGTGGAAGTGGAAATGTGTGAAGTTAACTTTATTCAAAGAAAATTTCTGTAATGCAGAGAAAAATAAGATGGGGAGAAGCCAATCAAATGTTTTACTGAAACTCATTTAAGAGCACTTAAGAGCAATTAAGTGAGCTGGAAAGTTTGAAAAGAGTTACACATACAACATATTCCTCCAATAGGAACCTCTAGCCTTATTGAAAAAATGCAGATGACTTCTAATTCATCTCCATTCTCCAGTCTTCCAACTTACTTATAACTATGTAGGGAAAGGTAGGTCAACTGAAACATTAATGGGAATATACAAAGACCTAACACAACAACAGAAACCGCTATAAAGCGGGTTAGAAAAATATTCAGCTATTGGCAGTCCATCCTGGACTACTTCAGCGACTCAAGTCATGAAAACCAGACACAAACTGGAATGTTCTCTTCCTCCCAAATGTTCTGAACTGACAGTGCGTATAACACTGTTTATGTGTACTACTAGTATTTTTGATGGTTTATAGGAGTGTATCTAAGTTTGAGATGGGTGCATTGTATGTTTAATGTGGGACCAGCACAGTCATGTGTAGACTAGAGACTGGCCTGTCAGGTGCTTAGATCTTGCATTCGAACTTGGAATGGGTTAGTCTGGGGGCCAACGCTGCTATCATAAATCTACACATCTAACTTCATTGTTCTACTTACTTGTGCAGTATACCAGTAGAGGGCACTGTCACCCATAACCTGTAAAATCAAGGCTTGCTCTATCCTAAACAAATTCCTTGACATTTTATAGATAATTTGTACAGCTATTCTTTTGCTTTGTGGGGATTTATACCATGAAAGCTGCTATTCCATATATAGCAAAATCTCTTCTAATTTAGATCCCCAAGCTGGAAAAGTTACCCTGGATCAGAGATTGGGCCATTTACCTGAATGAGCTAATTGGTGGAGACTGGGCCTAACCATGTTAGCATACAGGGTTATTAAACCAATCAGTATTGTTGTGTGATTTAAACGGACTTTAGCTGATTTAAGCACACAGAAGTTTATATAAGATAAGATAGCTAAAGACAGTCTGCCTCCTTGTGTTGCACTGAGTGAAGTCCTCAACACACAAAACAGGTAGAAGCACAGGCAAAGACAGTACAAACTTCTCCCACCAGTGTGTTTAATACTGACCTGGAAGGACCCACTTCTAGGAGGAGTTGTCTGTTCAGTCCTGGGACTTGTTGCAACTAGCCAGAAAGCGTGAATTCATTCAGTTCTTAGTGGGCAGGTGTCCACCTCAATTGACATAGGACATTAGATGTGGGTCACTTTCGTTCACTACTAGTCTAGGATTCCAGCTGCAGTCTAGCCCAGAGGTGGAAAAGCTGTGTATCTTTTAGCACAGACTGTTGGGATGGAAACATTATGGAACTATTTATCAAAATAATAAACCAAGTTCAATGATACTTAACACATCAGAAATATAACGTGTATTGGATATTAGACATAATGTGAGAACAGCAATGGACAGGACAATTCTAAAGAACAAGCAGGACAGTTCTAGCTAGCCACCTGCTTATTGTTTGCATCCATATGCAATTGTCCTTGAAATATAAAATGAATTTCGCTGACTAAAAAGAGAATTCAGACTAGCAAACTGTTGCAATGGCTTAGACCTGCAGAGCCCTAACTTGGCCTGGCTGAGCGGGCTTCACTGGAAATTTGCCAGGAGCCTGTGATGGGCACCTAATTTGCATAAGATACAGACCGCAATAATCTGGATACTTATTAGAAAGGTGGGACCCAGGAGGACTATGGGTGCTGGTATGCCCCATCCTGACTGAAGTGGTCTCTTGCTCTATAAATGGCCTCTTCACTTCCGGTACCTACTGCGGGGAGCACTAGAGAAATCTAAGATGGGAGAGGGGGTGGGGGGGCGGGAGAGGAGGAGGAGCCAATAAAATGTCTTACTACAACTCATTTAAGAGCACTTAAATAAGAGCAATTAAGTGAACTGGAATCTAAGACGAGGGGTGTGTGTGTGTGTGCCAGAGATGACTACCATTCCAGAGTTCAGCTAAAACAAGAATGATTGGGGCCAAACTGTGCTCTGTTACACTGACATAAACCAGGAGTAATTTCATTACTTGTAACTGAGTTACTCTGGATGTATACACCAGTGTACCAGAACATAATCTTGGCCTATATAATGATGTTATCCTGTAATACATGACCAAATACAGTTGGCTTTATGTCACAGTTGAAAATTTGATAGACACAAAATAAACTGCCCTGTTGGTCCAAATACAACAAGAAAAAAAGTATGCTTTACTCCAATCCCCATTGTATGGCCTATCAGCTTTTAGGTAACATACAGTTTGGCGGGGTTCTGTAAAAATAATTGCCTTAGTAAGTGTGTGTTTTAAAGCTCACTACTGAAATATCAGATATAAGTGAGAACAGCAAAACTACACACCGCTATCGCTTACCAGTGGTCTAGCCAGGTAGCGAAAATACAACTTTGCACTTCAACAACTGACTGTCAGCTTTCTTTGAGACATTACTATTTCTTGCAACCCCTTCTTTTATTTTTTTAAAAAGTCTAATTTCTGTTAGATATTGAAAACAGTAAAACGTAATTGGGGACGATAAAGTGGGTAAAGGCAATTTTCCCTCTTCCAATTATAAATTTAAAAAAGGATATTTCTTCTATTTATCCAACAAATTCTAAAAGACCAGACATTGAGCAGCATTAGTTTCATTCTTGGATGATCTCAGTAGCTATTTCTAGACACTCTCTTCAGCTTTGTGCCTGGCAAGACTCCTGTGCTTTTCGTTTAAAAGTTCATTTCTGTAGGTGTCACTAATTTAAATCCCTTTCCACATTTTAATTCACTACACAAAATATTTATCTTCACAAGGCAATCAATATAGCTTAGGTTCTTGAGAAATCTGCACTTTTCAAAGGAATAAACTCCGGATGATTGTTTTACTCATTCATAAACAAAGTCAGTCAGTTACACACAAATCATTCTGTAAATATAAAATGTAAACAGTTAACATACTTCTGTAAGGAGCAGCACCATTTTACATGACTACTTAGCAAGTGATCTACATGTTTGTTTTTTTTTTTTTTTTAAAAAAAGAGCATTGACAGCTGGGGCTTCAATGCTGAAAGATACTGAACATTCATGGCTTAAAAAGAACCATTATTAAGATTTCTGCTATGCTGGTCTGACAGTGAAGTGAAAGAGAAAAACGATTTATCCAGCACTGCTATTTCCCCCCATTTTTACCATGGCATATATTGCTCTCTTAATGCATTAGCTACAGAAATCTTACAACCTGAGGTTCTCCCACCAGTGATTGGTTTACAGGAATAAGTTACTCTGGGTGAAGAAAGAGTGGTCAAAAAGATGGGGTTTCCTATACACACACCCAACACAAAACTGCTCTATCCTAACACAGAAAATAAGGAACTTAAACTCCAAAGAACCACATGCTCTGTGAAAGTATAACTACAGGTATAGTTTTCCCTGTTGGCAATCTAGATATCCTGGGCCTACCTTGTTTTTTGTGTACAAAAACAGGCTAACAGCTAGAAGAAGTAAACAGTTTATTTGCATTGCAACGTATTATTCATGAAGTATCCTCTTTTTGTTTTATGAGATCATAAGCTTCAGCATGCCACAGTTCTGCCACCATACCCTTTTGGCAGGCTGGATACTTCTGCAGCTATAAAGATATGCTTTGCTTTATGTTTATGTTGCCTCTCAGATGAGGTGACTTTGCCATGGGTCATAAACGGTTTCCCTAATGAAACTCACTAACTGCTGCTTTTATTCAATTGTTATAGGCAAGTAGACAGAATTAAAGGATTCTGTGTTTACTGCTACCACTACAGTAGCTATACCCAAAGCTATGACAGGCTACAACGTATTATTTCTCTTCCACATGGGTAAGACAAGTGACCAAGCATATAACTTTGAAGGATAATCATGAACAAAATATTTGGAAAAAATTCTAATAAAAAAATTGAAAAACCTATAAAATCTTAAATAATACATGATACGGCAGAGACAACATTAATGTGTGCTTTGATCAAACAAATCTTACAAATTCAGTAAAAAAAAGTTCAGCAGCATAATAGTAAAGCAAATATGCAGATTTCTTAAAACCATGATAAAATTATCAGGTTTAATATTTTACAGAGTTAATTACAGCAAAAAAAAAAAATACATTTTTGTGGCTGCTTTTAACACAACTTACAGTTTAAAATTACAGCACTTTAAAATGAATCCTACAATTATTTTTGAAAAAACACTCAAAAATAATACCACTGATTTTCTTAAAGGTGCCCTATCAATTACTAAAGGACTCCCCTCCCCTCCCCCCTAAAAGACCAAGTAGTCATCTACAGCAACCCAGAGGTCCAGCGGATGTTTCCAGACTGCTGTCAGTATCAGAGGCCAATGTTGGATCTGTTGACATTGAAGACACATCATTGACAGATGAAGAAGACGACGGATGTTGTGAACCATTGATCATTGCTGCACCTGTGCTATGAGAAACAAAACAGCAAATCAGTTGCAGATACAGTTGCATGGTTTAATACTTGCATTAGTACTTCTCGCTCTACTGGTCATTAATTTTTCTTGCCACTCAAGAAGAGATTTCTTGGAGTCCATTATTAAATAAGATTTGAGGATTTTTTTATTTAAGTGAAGGGTTATATTTCTGAACCATTAATCTGTGCCAAAAACCATGGAACTTCCAGTACAGGATGCTTGTAAATCTGAGATAAACACTTACAGCTGAGTGCCAAATTCGGAAGTGTGGCTGAGAGAAAAAGGAGGTAATGGCAAGTAGTTCTACATAAGCCCAAGAAGATTTTCCAAAACCCTAAAAGCAGGCGCCTAACTATACACTTAAGCCTAAAAGTGGCTGAATTTTCAGAAATTCCAAGCATTCATCAGCTCCATGACCTCAGTGGGAACTGCTTAGTGCTCAAAACTTCTGAACTTTGGCCACCTGAGAAAATGGTGGTGTTGGAGTCAGGACTCCTGGTGCTTTACTCACTTTCAGCTGCTCAAGATTACATAGGGAAACAATAGCAGTTATTATCCCACCCTGTGCCACAGATCCTCCAACCATGGAAAGGGGGTACTCTAATGACCCAGCTGTATTTGATAACAAAAATACAAGAGTGGCTTACAAAGGCCGTTCTTGTTTAGAAAATAATTATTCAGGCAAACAGTACGAGTGAGAAATTTGATCTCAATATTTAGTAGACATTAAATGCAAGTGTTAAAGTGTACTTTTATAGTAGCTATGCAGAGATGTAACAAAGTTACAATGAGGATTTTAAAGCAAATTCAAGAGGAAAGCAGCTTGGTATGAAACAGTTACAAGTCTCATGTCTAATCATGAGCTATTGAACTGTGGCAGAAAAGTTATTAAAATATATAATAGGATTCCCAAGAGCAGAACATAAGAAATTAATGTCAAGTAGTGAGGAGTTGCTGATGGGAGAGAATACCACAGAAAATAAAAAGGGGTATTTCCTGGAGCAGTGTCAGGTGCCCCAAAATTAAAAGACAGAAGAGCTGAGGATGGGAACAAGCACTTTGAGCAGCATGCTCATCAGGATCAGCCAAGATTTCAGGAGGGTTTGGTAAAGGCTGACCTCTTTATGACATCACACTGCAGTTTTCTACATTGGCCAGGCAAACCCAGGCACTGTTGCTATAAGAATTTGCAGGAGGAAGACGGAGTCTCACTGAAATACAAACAGTGGGCACTAAATACTTTTGAAACTCAGGCCAAGCTTATTTAGGAGGATAAGTTTTGGCATCCACCTTGGTGTGAATGCGTTGATTAAATGCCCGTCTCTGATGATGCTCACTGGAATCTCATTAGCTAGTCACCCTTTTGGGAGACACTGATCTAATGGATGAGCAGAGAGGGCTAGCAACTGATTTCTAATCTGAATTCTGCTACTGACGTATTGTGTTACCTTGGCCCAGATGCACTGTTTTCCACCTGTAAAATGGGGATTTTTTTTGTATTGTGGTGGCTCCTAAGAGCCTTTGGGTATTCTACACAGCAAGCAGAAACCTGCAACAGCTAGTCTCTGAGCCTGGGTCTACAGACTTGGGCTTATGCTACAGTCCTAAAGACAGCTGTTGCAGCTTGGGCTGGAGCTCGGGCTGTGAAGCCTAGGTGGGGTTGGGTCCAAGTCCATATGTCTAAACAGCTATTCTTAGTACCGTAGCAAGAGCCTGAGTCTGTAGACCCGGGCTCTGAGTCTCGCTTCTGAGGGTTTCTGCTTCCCGTGTAGCTGTACCTTCAATCATAGGAAAGAATCCCACTGTGCAAGGTGCTGGACAAATAGAGAACAAAAAAAAACAGTCCCTGTCCCAAAGCCTTGCTTCATGGGGGTGTTGGGAGGGGTAGTTAACTAATCTCTGTATAGTGCTTTACATTTCCAAAGCAGAGCACCAGCATCAATTATCACCACTGATGAAGTGAATTAGCTGAAAACAGCTTCTGCCAGAGTGTTCTTGAAATTCTAGAGTCATACTTTGAGCTATATTAACTATTACTATTCGATCAGCTTTGCGCCTTTCTAGCTTACCACATAGATCAGGCTTGTACAGTGCTTTTATTGTAACCAACCTAAAGGGGCTGGTTGTCCACGTATAACCCCGTTCTTGGTCCTTTCCTCCAGGTCCATGACCTCCTTGTATATCAACTCTGTAAACATGACAAAAATAGTAGTTATACCAATCCAATACTTCAAACCGATCATTTTAATAAGATGTGCATTCATCATTAACATTCCAGTTTCATAGGATTATTACTCTTCAGAACTATTTTTAGACAATATTAGACTACAAAGAAGATAGCAAAGAAAGGAACATATTTAGAACTGAAAGTGATGCATCAGTTTACAGCACCATTCTGCTGCAAGGTCAAAGGTTTGGAGCTCACAGAATGCACTGAAATTGCTCACCGCTTGGTAGCTGATTTTGTCCGGGTCGGTTTGAGATGGAGGACGTCGAAGTAGAGCCACGAGGCTGAGGCAATCCATTCACTCAATGTTATGGAGGCCTCCTGCACAGGTGAACAGGTCTGATGGAAGAACAAGGAGCGCAGAAGGCCTTATCTAGCTGGGATTAGGATGGCTCAAGGCAACATTTTTGAGAAGAACTAGTACCCAGCAACACCACGATTCTTTGCTAGACAGACAGACTGTGTTTATATAAGTCCATAACTATCCCCTTGGAAGCACACTTGGGGTTACGTGCCAAGTTGCAAGACTGCTCTGCATCAGAAACCATAACATTTCTTGAAGAACAAATGTTCCCCTGCCCCAACCCCATCACGGATTTTCCTCACTAGTGCAAATTCATGCCATGGCCAAGCCTGATGCACTGAATGGTGTTCAAACAACCTAAGTGTCGAACGTTACTGGTGCTGGACTGCCCCTCCCTTCCCAGATATCTTTGCCTGAAGGATCCTGGATGATAGCTAACCAAGGCAGTCTCGTCCAATCTTTTTTTCTTAGCAGAGGCCTAGCCATAACTTGTTTGAGAGATGCTGGCAGATAACCCTATCTGAGATGTGTGGACAACCCTTTCCAACAGGAGGATCAGATATTGATCAGCTACAATATCCACAGATCCAGGTCAGATGAGGGTGGGCACAAGGACACTGGCTGAGACTCACTAAGGGATAGCGGTATAGCTGTACCATCCCAATCTGAAGGTCACCATAAATATCCAGAAGTCACTCTGGATCAGATCATCCTTTTCTGTGGTGATTAAAAGCCACACACAGGATGAAAAAGATGCCTCTAAAGTCAGCAAGGGGTGCTCTAGGTTGATAAGATGGCCAACCACCCAGAGGAGGTTTTGGCTGGGTAGAAGCACTGGTAGAAGAAAAGGACCAATACCTTAGATGCAAATTGTCAGTGACAGATTAAAAGTGGCAAACTGAAGTGATTTCCGAGTACAATATGGAGGAAGGAATTGTTTAGGAGCCACTATCAATGGTCAGAGACAACAGACTGGGGTAGCATAGCAACCCACGTGGCTACCCGCACTTGGCACTAGGCCAGGACAGAGGTATCATACTGTGTTTCAAAGCACCCTTGGAGGTTACATCAGTCTCCTTGGGAAGCTCATAACTGCACATCTCTTACCTCAAGAGGGAAATGGAAGAGCCATGGCCTCACTCTTGAGGTGATGGTGATCAAACCAGATTAGCAGAGCATTTGCCTTCCTTTCCAGCTTGGCCCCCATGTTGAAGACTATGTCCAGAGTCTAATGGCAAAGGGCTCCAGACTATCTGCGGTAAGCCTTTGGTTGGCACAAGGCCTATACATTCTTATGCTAGCAGGTCAGAGCTGGCATCTGCATGCACAGTGAAATTCTCCGGGGTGGACCATGAAGCACCCCTCCTACCTCCTTCTCTTTCTGGCAGTAACGGTTGAACTTTCTCCCAGGTATTTTAAGCACCTAAAACGGTACCTGTCTATTCAATGCATTATATTCGCATATTAAATGTAGCACTTTACACTTTAATGCTTCTCTGGATCCATCTTAATGGATCCTATCACTAATCCTATTAAAAACCTCAAACAACTGAAAATTAACTAGAAATTTTAGATAAACAAGCAAACTCTGCAAATAGAAAAACATGGTTCCAAGCCTACTTGCCATGGCAGAGGAACAGGTGATGGTTATGGTGTGGGACCTTCTACAACTTTACTTTGACAGCTGAATCTGCAATATGATGCACAGAGTCAAAGGGCTCAAGAGACACAGCATGTGACTCATGTACAAAAGAAAATGCAGGCTGCTCTGAGCTCCTGCTAAGTGACTCTGCAAGATGTAACTGATAGGGAAGGAACTTTGTGCCTGTTATTCCTCAACACAAGGCAGGACTACTTTCGCCAAGTCTGTAACCTGAAGCTGTCCAAATCCTGTCATATGCTAGATCACAAGGTCCAACTGGGGAGGGGGCATGGGTTGGGGGCAGGGTATTCTGGTTATTTGTAAAGAGACTTTTCTAAACAAACAAACACAAACATTTACCCCTGCCTGCTCACCAGTGCAGTGAATGACACAAAACCTAAGAGCAAGAAATCTAGGACGCAGCAATGAAAGTCCCTTCTTTGTTCTTTCAAGCTTTTAAAACCACAGAGATTCGGTAATGCATTGAAGGCAATTGTCAACAATAGAGGCTTGGATCGAGGACTTCTTTCTACCAAGTTAGCATTCAGACCTCATCACAAAAGAGTGAGTGGTGTATTTACTGTTACATAACGTATAAATATATACACATACATGTGTACATACACACACACACACTCAAGAGGATAAAAGTGTGACATTTGCTATCAGCGGTCTTCTGATTTAGCAATCGATTTTGATAAACTTATGGAGGAGATACAGAAAAGTGCAGATCTATAAGAGGTAGCTGCCACTTGCTGCGAGCATATTCTTTAAAATCCAAGAGATACAAGGTCATTGAGAACAATATCGCAAAACCTACCATAATGTTATCGGCTGTATGACTAAAGTCATAAGGTTAGTATCAACTAGGTAGTATACAGAAACAGCATATGAAAGTACCTCTTTGTTGCATAGGTTCTGTGAACATACAATGGGTTTTGTGCAAAAAAATTCAAGAGTAGAGGCTTTACAGAAGGCTTCATGATCATGCATGCAAGTAACCCAGAAAGAATGTATAGGCTTTAGTCACTGCTGTGGTGCTACGCCTTAGTATTGCCATAGGTATAGCTATTGACGTCTGTGTGGGTGCAGATGTTTAACTGAAAGAAAACAGAAAAGGAGTACTTGTGGCACCTTAGAGACTAACCAATTTATTTGAGCATGAGCTTTCGTGAGCTACAGCTCACTTCATAAGCTATTACCAGCAGGACAGTGGGGTGGGAGGAGGTATTGTTTCATATTCTCTGTGTGTATATAAAGTCTGCTGCAGTTTCCACGGTATGCATCCGATGAAGTGAGCTGTAGCTCACGAAAGCTCATGCTCAAATAAATTGGTTAGTCTCTAAGGTGCCACAAGTACTCCTTTTCTTTTTGCGAATACAGACTAACACGGCTGTTACTCTGAAACCTGAAAGAAAACACTGGCCTACATTTACCTTCCGCAAGTAATGCTATATGTGCGAGAACACGATCTTTGTGACAAACACTGGGCCTTTTGAGGTAAGGGAGCACGGTGGTATATCAAGAGTCATGGGCTTTGCAACTCACAGCAATGCTGCTCCTTTTTTTTGTGTGTTAAATTTGGCTCTATATTTGTCTTGTAGTTGAGGGTGGTTTTCAGATATTACTGAAAGGTTTTAAAACAATTTGTTGTAAAACAGATTTGACCTCTTAACTTCCCATGACAAACAACACAAAAATAATTAATACACTGTTTTTTTCCTTCAGCTAAAACTGTGACATCTCTATTTTGTGCCACAAAAAGTCATGACTTTCCCCATTTTTTCCCCAATGATAACTGATTAGTCTCATCTACATGGAACCAAAAATCCACCTTTAATAGCAGAAGTGTATATCAAATTGCAGCGTTTACTTTTGCTGAAGAAAAATTCTATTCGAAGAAACAGCTGAGGAAGCTCTGTAAAACTAAAGGAGGCTGAGCCTCTTTCAGACAATGCAAGTGACGATAAGAAGCAATTGAAGCAAGGAGAGATTAAAAACCAAATACGGCGTGACAGGAGAATATATACGAACTTGTTATTAAGAAGCGAGACTGCTATCAGAAGATTAGTCTGGACGTAGGCCAATGCTTGTTTCCTTAAAGAGGAAAATGCAAATGAACACACTAATTTTCCCCTCAGGAGAAATGTAAATGAACGTATAAACACCCTATAGAGGAAGTAGGGTTGATATTATGGCTACAGGAGAAAGCCTATTGGTATGTTAAGTTTCCTCCCATCTCTTTTGTGGATCACCTGCATTACTGAAAAAACTTCTCTTAGCAGGGAGGCTTAGTTGACTCCCCCCCCCCCCCCCAACCTACTCTTTGCTCAGGCCTTGGCTACACTTGCACGTTATAATGCAATAAAGCTGCCCAGAGCGCTCTCACTCACTCCCTGTCCACACTGGCAAGGCACGTAGAGCGCTCTGACTCCCTGGCTAGAGCGCTGCTGGTCCTCCACCTCCCCGCGAGGGATGAGGTTTGCTGCATAGTGGGTGAGACGCTACAGCCTCAGTGTGAACGAGGAGTTACAGCGCGACTGCCCTCCAGAAACGTCCCATAATCCCATTAACTGAAGTGGCCTCTCTTGTCTTCGAGTACAGGAGCAGCTGCTTATCAGCTCCGAGAAAAAAACAAACAGCTAATGTTTACTTTGAGTGAGAGAGAGAGAGGCGGGGGAGGGAGGGGGGGTCTGTACTTACAAGACAGCATGCTGACACACTCTCAGCACCCCAAAAACCCACTCTCTCCCCCACATACACACAACACACTCCACCCCACCCCCTGCCCATTTGAAAAGCACACCGCAGCCACTTGAACGCTGGGATAGCTGGCCGTAATGCACCACTCCAATACCACTGCAAGTGCTGCAAATGTGGCCACACCAGTGCGCTATCAGCTGTCAGTGTGGACAGACTGCAGCGCTTTCCCTACTGCGCTGTACGAAAGCTGGTTTAACCCAAAGCGCTCTACATCTGCAAGTGTAGCCAAGCCCTCAATCTGCAAAGCTTATT